AAACGTCGGGGCATGCTCCTATCCTGGGGAAATGAGGGGTACTGAGGCACGTGTCCAATGGGGCAGGCAGCTGTGTTGGGTGCCCATGGGATAAATCCTGTAAAGGACAGCGGATCCAGCCCCACGGTGATTGAGGGAAGGGCACCAGGGTGGGAGGGGACCACTCATGACCAGGAGCCAGAGCCGGGCTGCTGCCCCCTCTCATCCGCGTGTTTATTCCCCCGTGCCTCCCGGGTGTTCACAGAAAACGCTGCCGCCTCCACCAGCTCCAGGGCCCGAGGCGCTGCTGGCTGCTTCCTGGCCATCCAAGGTGAGGTTTCTCATGGAGGCCAGCCCCAGATTTGGGGGTGAGCAGGGATGCCGGTGGGGAGGAGAGCATCCCCCTCCCTGGGGCTCACTGCTCTGGACCCCCTAGATGGGCTTCCTCGCGTATTCCCGGCGGTACTTGGCATCCACCCGTGTCAGGTACCAGGTGCCTGGGAAGAGATCCGCCTGGGAGCCGTGGGGAGCGTGGTCAGCTGCAGGGAGAGGGCGGTGATGCTCAGAGGGGCTGTGGGGCACCAGCAGGGAGGTCTCGCATCCCCCCGGCCCCACTCACCCAAGTGATGGGTCTCCTCCCGCTGCTTCATGATCTCGGCAAAGTCCTGTGGGGCTACACGCTTGCGGGCATCCAGGCGAGCTGGTAGGTCAGCCAGGCTGGAGACCAGCTTATCCAGGGGTGAACCTGGCAGTGGAGACCCCCCAGGTGAGACAGCACTGCCAGCGGCCCTGGCCCCGCAGCCCCACGCTGCCCTCCCCTCCCAGCCCCACTCTCCCGTGGGGCTCACCTGGGGCCGCATCCTGAGAGACACGGAGGGAGAACATGCTGGCGGCCAGCCCCGAGCCGTAGGGGAAGGGCACGATCCGGGAGCCAGCCAGGGCCGAGAGCCGGGGGGGAAAACCGGGCGGGCGGCCCGCCCGGAGCCGTAGGAGAAGGCACCGATCCGGGAGCCAGCCAGGTCCCGCGCCGAGGATCTGCAGTGAGGGGTTAGTGGAGTTAGAGGGGATTGGGGGCTGCAGGGGGGGCTGCAGGGCTGTGGTGGCATCGTAAGGGGCTGCCTTCTGCCCACTTCACTGGCAGTGGAGTCCTGGGACTTGGGGCCAGATTAAATGGCAACTTGTGGCCACATTGCCAAGGGTAGGTAGCCCCAGAGCAAGGGGGTGCCTGTGGCAGGGACTCAGGGCTGGGGAGCACCAGGGCTGCCCGAGGGGAAGTGGGATGAGGCTTTTCCCCCTCCCCAGTGCCTGGATGTTCCCACAGCTCCTTTGCTGCCAGTGGTGGCAGGGGATAGCCATTCTCCTGGGCACAACAAGGGGGTTTTCATTCTCCTGGCACTGACAGAAGGGCTTTATGCACCAGCCCAGCTCCAGCAAACTGGGATGAAAAGGCTGGCTGGGAGACAGCGCAGGGTGGGAGGTGAACATGCTGGGGGTTATGTGCAATGAAAGCATCAGGTCTCTGCTGCAGTGGAGGGGGATGAGTGCTGGCACCTGCCTCCCGAGCCAGGCAGGCCAAGGACTGCCCTCCAGAAAATGAACTCCCCCCCCACCCCGAGCCAGCTTTTGGGGGGACTCACTGTGCCAGGAGGGAGGCCAGGCAGCCGTACATGGACGGCGTGTACATGTTGCCGTTGCGGGAGGAGAGGAGCAGGGAGGGCTTGGTCTTCTGGTTGAAGATCTCCTGGCTGGCCGCCTGGAATGCCTTCTCCACCTCCTTGCTGGCATAGGTGTCCTCCAGCTTCACGCCACTGCCCGGAGAGAGGCCGGCTTGGACCCCGCACAGGCACGTCCCCGGCTGGGGTGGGGGACAGGGGACACGGCGCACGGACCCACCGGAAGGGCTGCAGCCCCTTGTAGAGGCCGGCGGCCGTGTCGGGGTTGGGGGCAGCCAGGAAGTCATTCAGCAGCAGCCGCCCCACCGACTTCTGCACCAGCTTGCAGAAGGGCGTGTGGAAGATGATGAACTTGAAGTCGTCGAGGGTGAAGGGCCGCTGGATGCCGGCTGGAAGGCAATATGGGGGCTGTCAGCATCCGGTGGGATGGCATGGGCACCCCAGGGGTGCTGCCACTTACCCTGCTGCCACTGGCTCTCTGCCTTCCGGCGGTACACGGCGTAGCAGCGGTCCAGCGCCCGCAGGTAGCACTGGATGGAGAGCTGTCCGTCCACCACCGGGTACTCGGAGGCCAGGTCTGGCTTGTAGAAGTCATAGGCGTGCTCCATGTGGGTTCCCCGCAGGCCTGGGGGCACAGGGAGGGCTGGCTGTTGGGGAGTGCCAGGGGGGTCCCGGCTGGATAGCAAGCACCCAGGGATGCTGCCTGCCATGCCAGCCCTGGCATCCACCAGCCTCCCTGGGTCACTCTGAGGTGCCCACAGGGATGTGGCCAGGTGGGATCCTGGGGTACCCAGCACCGGGCAGCCACTGGGGCCGACAGAGCTGGTGCTGCCAGAGCTGAGCAGCTCCATCGGGGGCTGGGACATGGACGTACGGCCCCCAGGGATGGCACCCATCAGCTCCTTGCCCCCAGTGTCTTGTGGCACTGACCTCTCTCCAGCACCAGCGGGGCGTTGGGTCCCACCAGCATGGCAATGGCACCGGCACCTCCCGTGGGCCGTGCATTCCCTGTGGCATAGACGGCAATGTCCCCACACACCACCACGGCGTAGCGACCTGGGAGAGGACAGGGGGGCCCATGGGGCTGTCAGCGGGCGGGAGGCTCCATCCTGCAGCCCTCGCACATCCCCATCCCCATGCTGCTGGGTGTGATGGCCAAGGCAAGTGAGAAACGGGGGTGATGGAGAGCCTGGAGGGGCAGCAGCTCCCTTTGAGGCTTGCCAGAGCATCTTTGGGTTTCAGGCCACCTCCTGCCTTCTTCCCCCATCCCACAGCACCCACCCCATGTCCAGCCCCCCCATCCCCACAGCACGGTCTCTGCCTGCACCCACCATCCCAGGCGCTGGACTCTACCCAGGCAGCCGCATTGAAGAGCGAGGCCGTGCCCCCGTAGCAGGCGTTGGTGGTGTCGATGCCCTCCACATCAGTGTTGCCCGAGTCATGGAACAGCTGCATGAGGACGGTCTTGACAGCCTTGGACTTGTCGATGACGGTCTCGGTGCCCACCTCCAGGCGGCCGATGGCGTCCCAGGAGAGGCGCCCGCGCTCCACCAGCCGTTGCACCACCGTCAGGCACAGGGAGTTGATGTCCTCATGGGCGGCGCAGAAGCCCATCTGCTGCTGGCCCAAGCCCCGCGTGTACTTGCCGGCCTCCACGCCATCGTACCGCTCCAGCTCCTCCTGCTCCACGTACTGGGCGGGGAAGTACACCTCCAGTGCCAGGATGCCCACGTCCTTGGGCCAGGCGCCTGTCCCAGCAGCGCTGGAGAGGCTGCAGGGCAGAGGAAGCGGCGACAGTCCCATGGCGGCCCCGAGCCTCGAGGATATGCGGTGGCCCCGGGGAGATGCCACCAGCGAGCACCCCAGGCCATGAGCACCTCAAATCCCTGCTGGTTCCCTGTGCCCGGTGGCACTGCGGGGAGGAGGGAGAGCATCCCCTTCCGCAGCAAGGTTTAAGAGCACTGCCAGCTGCCCCCCCCCCCCGGTTATGTCTCCACCCCAGCCGATCCGTGTGGGTGCTCACCATGCCTTCTGCAGAGCCATAGGGTGCTGGGCCCCCTGGGGTGCCTGCTCCAGCCCTGGTGGTGCCCTCCTCGCCCCCCAGCAGCGCGCGGCACGGCCGACCAAGCGCAGCATCTTCGCCCCGGCCGCTGCACAAAGAGAGGGACGGATGGCGGGACGGACAGATGGACAGCAGGATGGGCCTTGCGTGGTGCTTTTATAAACTGCACGGGCGGCACGGCACAGCCCTCCCAGCCCTTATCAGCATGCCGGACCCCAGCGCTCAAAGGTCACTGAGCGCCAGCCAACGCGACAGGGACAGCAGAGCAAGTGCTGGCTTTGGAGGGGGAGGCTTGCAGGACGTCTCTGTCTTGTGCCCCAAAGCCTGGGGACACGCTTGGCTGGAACCAGGGCCGAGCAGCAGAAAGGGCTCTCCTGCAGCCCCAGCTTCCTGTGCTGTGGGGTGGTGGCAGCTCTGGTGCCTGCGGCTTTGGGGCCCGGCTGCAGCCGCCGTGCGGTGTGCGAGGTGCTGTGTGGCCTCCCTGACTGACCCCGTGGTCCTGGGGAGGGAGCAGAGGGTGGCCGGGGGTTTGGTGCCAGCACCATCCTCTGCCCAGGATGCGGTACACCTCCGTCACATGCTGCAGCTCCGGGAGGGAAAAATCCCATGAGCTGGGTGGGGACAGAGCCATCTTCAAAACAGCAGAGCAAACAGCCACGTGATGCCTGTGGCAACACTGCGATGACACAAGAAGGGACCTTTGGTCCCGGTGCTGCTGTCAACATGGCCGCAGGGCAGCATCGCAGCTCCTGGACCCCTGTGGAGCCATTTGCACGTGGCAGGGACACCCATTCCCATGCCTGCACACCCATGACAGCTCCCATCCCCACCCACATCTGCGCCCCAGCTCTCCTCCATGCCTGCACCCTGGGGACACTCCTGTCCCCCCACCTGCACCCCAGGGATATCCCATCTACCCACCCCTCCCATGTAGCACCAGAGGGCTGGGGATGAGCAAACACGAGCACCCAGCTGGGAGAGCTGGTGGCCCTGTGGCTTCTGGGGACTTACCCCCAAATGGCTCCGCTGGCACCAGCAGCACTGAAGCCCCCAGCAGCCGGGAAGCTCGGAGAGCCGCAGCAGCGCCTGCTGCTCCCTCGCCCAGATGCCCGCGGCTGGACCGTACCAGGGCTTTGCACCAGCAGCAAACTTACACAGCACTTGCATGCTTGTTTTTTTATAGATGTATTTTTAGGAGTTGGGGAGAGAAGAACAGAGGTGGCAAGGAAAGAGCAGCACCAGCATGGGGTCCTCCACGGGGTCCCCCACGGGCCTGGGGGCTGTGCTCAGTGTGAGGGGATGAACTTGCAGACATAGTGACGCTTCTGGGAGCAATCAGCACTGGACCACACAGTGAAGCCTGCCAGAGAGATGGGCCGGGGGTCAGTGGGGGCCATGGCGAGGACAGAGGTACCAGCTCTGCCCATAGCAGTCCCCCGGCGGGGACTGGCCCTGGAGGGGGAGGAGGGCAGGGGGGTGGATGCCAGCCAAGACCGAGTGCTGGAGGTGGACGTGGCGTCTGGGCACTCACCGCTGGAGTAGGTCAGCATGCCACAGGTCCCCCCACGGGCACCGTTCCCGGCCAGCCCACTGGTGACATTGTACTTGTCCCCACTCATCCACTGCCAAGCCTGGCTCTGTGCAAGCAGAAGAAGTCAGAGGCATGGCCCTGCTGCCCCCCGGCCCCCCACCACCCCCTGCCGCTCCCCACCTCACCTCATGTCCGTAGTAGAGGCCGAGCCAGACGGACTGCACGCGCTGGTAGTAGGAGATGACCTTCTGCAGGGTGGCCGCCTCCTGGGGCTCCTCCACCCAGGCCAGGTGGGCGCTGGCGTGGCTGGCCTGGCACCGCCTCTGCGGGGAGAGCCATCAGTGCCTGGGCACCCCCGGGAGATGGGGGGTCCCCGACCATGTGCGTACCCCAGCGGGCTTACCTCAGCCTCGTCCCAGGTCTGGAGATCACGGAAGTACCTGAAGCAGCTGAGCTTGTAGTAGTACCAGCCCTTGGGGCAGTAGTCTATGAACCGGGCGCCTGTGGAGGCAGAGCCACAGGGAGGGATGGGGGACAGCCGGCATCACCGGCCGGAGAGGAGCGTGGCTCCCTCCCAGCCCCGCTGCGAAAGCAGCTGCCCCCCGAGTCGTGGGACTCACCGGCCGGCCATAGCAGGCCTGCACAGCCCAGCAGCAGGAGGGCGAGTCTGGCCGCTGCCACCATCCTCCTCGCTCCTGGACGTGTCTCCTGCAAGAGCTCGGGGGGTCACACCAGGTCCCTTGGGGACAGGAGATGTTGCCTGCACCGGGAGGGTGCAAACCTGCCCTGCTATGGACTGAATCTGGCCCCTTTCAGCCAGCTGGAGGAGATGGCAGCCCTGGGGTCTGTGCCTCCCTCTCCCCTCCCTGGCACAGGTCACTGCCCCATGCCCACACCCCGTCCCCCCAAGCACGGCTCGGGGGCCCCAGCCCACACTGGCAGCGGGGAGTCCCGGCCCCACCAGCCCCAGCCTCAGCAGGAGGCATCTGGGTGAGCCAAGCTGCTCTGTGAGGACACGGGGAGAGCACTGCCACAGGCACGGGTGGAGGGACCCCAGCCCTGCCCTGGCATCAGGCAGCAGCAGCAATGGCACAGGCAGAGCCGGGGTGGGTAGGGCTGCAGGGACTACGTGCACAGCATCGTTTTCACCCCCTGAGCTTGTAGCGCTCCCAGACCCAGGCTGGGGAGGCAAATCGGCCACATCAGCGCAGTTCCCCTTTATCTGGGCTAATCCCCGGCCGCTGGGGCTGATTTGCAGACTCAGCTCATCTTCCCCTCAAAGAAGCAGCAACAAAAGTCAACGTGGGGATGAATATTGCATCGTTGCAGCCAGCCCCATCCAGCAAGGGCAGTGCTCAGCTCCCCTGGGAGCTGCTGGGGCTGGGACTGGCTCCTGCTCGCCCACAAGCTGCCTCAGAGCATCCCAAAGCTGCAGCCACCCCATGAGGGTCCCCTTCATAGAATCATAGAATGCTTTGGGATGGAAGGGACCTTTAAAAGTCATCTAGTCCATCCCCCTGCAATTGGCAGGGACATCTACAACTAGCTGAGGTTGCTCAGAGCCCCATCCAGCCTGGCCTTGAATATTTCCAAGGATGGGGCATCTACCACCTCTCTGGGCAACCCATTCCAGTGTTTCACTACCCTCACTGCAAAAAATTTCTTCCTTGTATTTAGTCTCACCTGCTGTTCGGAGATCGGGAGGAATAGCGGCTTCTGTGGGTTGTTAGAGAGGAGAGGATCTGCCCTTTATAGCCTGGTGCTCACCAGCATCACTGTTTGCCCAGCGCAGGTGATTCCCACCATAAAAACCTCACTGACTCCCCTTCATCCCCCCCACTTTGCTGGAAAGCTGCCTAGATCTCCACTCTGTTTACACCTAATGTTTCTCCAGAAAAAACCAGGAAGAACCTCTCCTAGTTGGTCAATAAACCCCCTGCAATTAGTGTTAATTACTAACACAAACACAGAGACAACCTTGTGGCAGAGAGCAGCCTGGCACCAGGCAGGGATGCCCACTGGCCAAACCCCTGCTGGCCCAGGGGCTGGGGGGATGAGCCCCTGGGGAGGCTGCCCTGATCCCAGCCAGAGCATCCTTGCCGCAACCAGCCGGCGGTGGGTACCATCCATCCCCAGGGATGGCACCGGGCCAGGCCCCACTCCCTGCCCGCTCTGCCGTGCGTCACACACGCACCGCCCTTGTTTGAACTGCCTGGGGATGTTTGTCAGCAGGATGCAGGACACAGGGATGTGGGAACAGCCTGCAGCCGGGCGCTGGCGGGCACCATCAGATATCAGATAGTGGTGGGGGTGCCCGGCCCCCACACCCAGTGGTGACGCAGGACTTTGTCAGTTTGTGTCCCTCCAGGAGGAAGGGGCAGGTCCTGCAGCAGCAGCGCCCCACTGCCCCTGCCCCACGTGGGGAACACACAGACTGGCCCCAGGGAGGCTGCTGCTGGCACAGAGCTGCAGAGGGAGGCTGCCCCCAGCCCCAGCAGCCAGAGCCCTTTGGCACGGTCGGGCACAGCCTTCTCCACCATGGTCCTCACTCCTCACCCTGGGGTGTCCTCTGGCATCGGTGGGAGGTGGCTGAAGCTCGTCTACCCTACTGCTTCGACCACGTTGCTCTGGAGCATCGCTTTGTTGGCTCCTAACATACCAAAGCAGCTCTGAAAGCAATCCCTGCTGCCTGTCCCGTGGCCTCCTGCAAAGCTGCCAGCTCCTGCCCAGCACCCTGCGGCTGCCAGCTATGGCCAGTGCCTGGCTCTCCTTCCCCCAGTCCTCTCAAAGATCCTTGGAGGAGGCCGCTGGGAGCTACCCAGGAGGCAGGCACCCGCAGAGGATCCAGCCCCAGATCTCCCAACACAGAGGGCTTGTAGCTGCCTGAAGCTGTTCCTCCCGGCTGTCAGGCTCGAGCCGCGTCCTCCAGCCCCCAGGGATCTCCCACAGCTCCTTTGTGGCAGCATTTGCCAAAACGCGCAGCGAGTGCTGCTACGCCCACAGGGAGCAGCTCCCCACCAGCATGCAGAGGCAGGTCTAGCTTTCGCCCTGGGGAGGGAGGAGGATCAGACCCGTCTCCTTTGCCCACACAGCCAGCATACAGCTGCTGCTGCTCCCCGAGATGCAACAGAACAAGTTTTCACAAGCCCCTCGTCGTCCCGGGCAGGGGAAGAGGCATGCACCGTCCCCGAGGAGAGGCAGTTTCAAGTCTCAGCCTGAGCACCAGCAAACTTGACACAGCTGCGCCAGAGCCACAGCATTGCTCGCTAAACTTTGGCACAGATGCGCAACCTGTGGGAGAACATGGATGAAAGCGTCCCGGAGGTTTGTACTTGCCAAGCTGGCTCTACTAGAAGATAAAGGAGCCACACTGTTTGAATATTAAACCCTTAAAACGCCCCCAGCAGCTTTATCCCTGTGAGGCATCATAACTCAGCTACCGGCTCCATCCGAGTCTGCAGCGAGAGCTGGAAACGAGCCAGGTGAGCGCTGGCTGAGCCCAAGGCTCTGGTGGCACCTCCCTGCTCAAAATACAGGAACACAGCCATTGTCAATTTGCTCTCTAATTGTTCAAGTCAAACTCTTCGAGCCTGAAAACAGCACGGAGGAGCTGTGACTCCCTGTTTCAGAGGCTGGAGAATCACACATCTTCATGCATCAGCTGCCAAGCCAAAGCCCTGGAGGCAGCCTCAGCTGCAGGGACGAGGGTCCTCCTCCTGGCTGCAGAAACAGAAACAGCCCAGGGAAGCAAGCAGGACCTGAAAGGGCGAGTGAATCCACAGCTCCACTAACCACCGCCTGACCCACGCTTGCCCACAACCTTTCTAAAAGCCACACAAAAGCCCCAGCCCTTCTCCAGCTCCCAGGCAAGCGAGAGCTCTTATTCAGAGCGTCTCAAAAAGGCCCCATCTCAGTCCCTCCCCGTCCTTCCCAGTATGCCCAGCTGCTTGGCTGCTGGTTACTGCCCCCTTCTCAGCTAACCAAGAGACCCAGAATCCTGCTACACACCCGACCTCGGCTGCTTTCAGCTCCCAGGCACAACTCCCTTGGGTGGAGCTAAGCGCTGGGGTTCACGCGCTGCTGAGCCGCAGCACAGAGCACCCTTGCTCCCCAAAAACTCTCTCCTGACGTGGACTGCGGAGGTCCTAACAAGCCCTCCCCTGCCAGGGTTCTGAAGAGCTATCGACCACCGATGATTTGTTTATAATCCTGTCTTTACAATCCAGTGCCTGTGCTGTGATAGCCGGGAAAACAAACGAAAACAGCAGCACACAGACGTCGGGCACATACTCTTTATTCTGGGGATAAAAATTGCTTATACATTTTGCAGCAACTATTTTCATAAAAGACATTTATAAAAAATGTAAAAATAAGCAAATATTTTCCATTATTAATACAGGAAAATGCTGCTGTGTGAATGGTTACTCTACAACTTATGAGATAAAATACCACCTTAAGGAGATATTATCTTTACAAGTAGTTAAAAAAAAAAAAAGAAAGGCAGAGGGCCATCGTATTAACACGCCAGGCACGGAACTGGCTTCATTCCACAGAAAGCACTCATCTTATAAAAGGTAGCCACATATATAAAAAGGCACTTGGTTATTTGGGGCTAATGAGGAAAAGCCCTTTGTTTCTTTAGCATCGATGTAGCAACACTTCATTATTTGCAGTGAAACATGTACCTGGACAGACCTCCAGGAGTTTGCGGGCTCCTGCTCGGAGATCCGAGTCGATTGCAGCTAAACTTCACAGGACACACTGCGGCAAGCGTGCCGGGGAACGCTGTGTGCGTCGTAAAAAGCAGTAACTTCAGAATTCAAAACTTCAGCCCAAAATGACAGCCCCGGGAACCAGCTCCTCCTGAGGCCCTGCCTTCATGTACCATTGAGTTGAATCGAAAGAAAAAGCTTTTACTCTTGATTAGAATGGAAAGAAACATCGGAGAAAATACTGTACATGGTAGGATGCTGAATGGCCGCTGCTCGGAGGGGAGCAGCCTTCTCTGTCCTTTGGCGGCAGCCGACAGCCCCAATCTCTTTGGAATGCATGTCTGCAGGGTTCCCCCGAAGAGGTAGGAGCAAACCATCCCTAGAAATGTTCACTTCGGCTGCTGACCAGTTCAGAGCCCTTCAGGGAAGCGCTACTCTTGCGGACAAAGCAGCAAGAGGGGCTGTTTGTCTAAGGTCAGCGACAGCTGGCTTCCGTAACTCCAAAAATATCAGGGGGGCTGCAGTACGAATGGCACTACCGTCCCACAGGGCATGTGGGGCACCTCAGCTGGGAAATCTCAATACAGGCTGAAGCTGAGAGCAGAGGATAGCCCCAAACCTGTTAACCAAACTGCATTAGATAACAGTTTCTGAGCTATTTGGTCTGCCGCTTAAGCCCAGCTCCTGGTTTCAGGCACGCTATTGCTGCTGCTGGAAGCCTGCTCAGGAGTCAGTGCTGCAGCCTCCTTGTTGGGAGGGGAAGACAAGGCAGCCCTGCCCCAGGGCTGGAGCAAAAAGGGCACCTTCAAAGGGCTGGACGCCGTTCCTGACGCAGAAGGACACATACTGCAAACATGTAACGACATCCTCCGCGCGTCTTGATAATACCATAAAGAGGCGGCATATGGTATCTGGAGGACAGGACACACAGCCACCCTTGGATGGAGGGGAGGGGAGTACTGTGCAACAACG